CCTTAGACCATGGAAACACATGAAAACACCTATGCAGCTTATGCACCTAATTACCAGATGACTCACATGATTGTAACTCACATGACCAGCATTTCCTGAGGCTTGCGGCGCTATGGGCTCATGGTGACTGATCGGTACCCTGGGGAGTGTGCCTGGGCGGAAGCGCAGGGAAGTGCCTTGGAAGCACCATGTCCGTTCAAGAACCCGCGTCCGTTCTCGAAGCTTTTGTCCGTTCTTTGTCCGATCTCGATTAAAAGACTGTGATATAATTCTTCCTACTAGCGTTCTTGCTCCTAGTAGTACGGCCAGGAGCCCCGTTCGTAGCGTCCGATCGCTCCGTTCGTAGCGATGCCAGGAGCCCCGTTCGTAGCGAACCTTGTTACTAGTTTGGAAAGAACATCGACTCTGGTGACCTTCTCCATGTCCCTTTTCTGAACGTAAAACCTTCAACACGCCATATGAGCCTTGAACTTGTTGGCTGAAGTAGCTTTGATAATTTGTAACAAGCCCGAGACATAGAACGCATAGAGAACCGGATCGAAGCAGGGTATTTGTTTTGTCTCCTCCTCCTCCTCCTCCTCCTCCTCCTCTCCCTGTAGTGTCACTTTGCAAGTTTTAAAAGAAAGGCAATTAAATTGATGTTGAAGAGTGCAAGCTCCATCACCAGAAAAAGCTAGCCAAGGCTTGCTTGTGCGCAGCCCTTTCCGGCGTTCAACAGTGCTAACAAGCCCAGCGGTCGCTGGCAGCAAGGCCGGAGTGCCCAAGTTCCTCCAAAGGTGATCCTAAACGCTTCCACTAAGCATTAACCTACGTTTTGAAAGATATACTGTATATTGTTTTTAATATTGGATTCTTTGAGTTGCTACTAGCGATGGCCTCCACCCTTGAAGAAATGGTATGGCTTCCACTACAAAAAGGTTCAGTCGGTATGCAAAGCCAATGTTTGCGGCAACACTTTCTCACGCTGACTAAACGAGCGCTAGCTTCTACTTCTTGCCTGCTCAGATCAAGAAGCGATATTTGGAAACATAATAAGAAACAATGTTCGCTACTAGGAACAAGTGCATCGCTACTAGTAACAAGTGCCTTACTAGTAGTAACAAGAAGCTAGTAGAAACAATGTTCGCTACTAGT